AAATGAATCCAATTACCTGCCGTACACATGACAGCTGCCTTAAAACGTTATTCCACTTTTAACCGAAAAAGAAGAGGATCACAGAGTTCAAAAGGCTTACTTTGTTTCTGATCAAAAGGGGAAAATATGATGGCGAATCTCTCGGAATAAGTTAAGAGGCCAAATGAAGAAAATTAATAGCGCAGAGAAGGTTGCTCCTGTCCAACCCATTTCTAGCTAAGTCGGGCGCGAAACGGAAAGTAAAAAGCTGGAAGGCTTGTTAATTAGAACGTTGAGCACGAATGTCTTCATATATATGATAGCATCTGCGACCAAAAATTAATTTCGTATTCTTTTATGTATTTGGAGATTGCCACGAGTAATTATTATTTTCTAAACCGACTAACCTCTCTGGCGAGGACTTTGTTTCTTTTAGATTGCTGAAGTTGATAATGAATCCTCTCAGCTTCATCGAAATTATATTAAAGCATAAATACCAATCCTGGTAATGAAAGTTTAGCCTATTACAGAACTCTCATTTTGCCAATTTATACCCTTAACAGCCGATGTTTTTGCATAGTTTAAATAACGATCTCCCTAAGATGTTTTTGTATAATCATTTCTGGCCGGCTGCTGTTATGATGAATTATCTCTCGTTGCAATCACAGGTAAGCCTAAAGGAAAAAGGAATACAGAAGTATGATGGCAAGAAATAATTTAACAGGAGGCGGAGTACAAATGGAAACATATCAAGAACTGTTATGTTCCCCCTCTTTGGCAAGCGGATTACAACAGCACTCAATTTATCTCGCAGTGGTAAATGTGATCCTATCTCTCACTGCTATACTTGGTAACTTTCTAATCCTTGTTAACCTTCGTAAAGAATCTTCCCTACATCTGCCATCCAAACTTTTGTATCGTTGTCTGACAATAACTGATCTTTTGGTTGGTCTCGTTAGCCAGCCTCTCCATGCTATTTACTGGATATCCATAGCTAACGAACACTGGAACCTTTGTCGATACACAAGGGACGCCACCTACGTAACCATCTACGCATTTTGTGGGGTATCTTTAGGGACAATGACGGTCATAACTATTGACAGACTTCTTGCGCTGTTGTTGGGGCTGAGGTACAAACAAACTGTAACTTTGAAGCGCACAAGTATTATTTTAGCTGCCGTTTGGGTTTTATGTGGTGTCGCTGCTCTATGCTACATTTTAGATTACCGTATAACCTTATGGTATGGATGTATTGGTGTTCCATCTTGTTTACTGATCTCAATGGTCTCGTACAAAAAGATATTTCGCACCCTTGTTCATCATCAGGCACAAGTTCAAGTTCATGTTCAACTACAGTCAAGTCAACCAAATTCACTGAACATTTCGCGATACAGAAAGGTGGTGTATAGTGCACTCTGGGTGCAGTTAGCATTAGTTGCTTGTTATGCACCGAGTACCATTCTTGAAATTCTGAACGTTCACAAGAGAATATTTTCACCACAACTCGTCGTCAGCAGAGGAATTGCAGTCACCTTTCCTTACTTTAACTCGAAATTAAATCCATTTCTTTACTGCTGGAAGATTAGTGAAGTAAGACAAGCAGTAAGGCAGACAATCAGGCAAGCACTTTCCTGTCCATGGAATTAACTCTCTCTTGTGTTACAATCGAACTAATTCTTCTTAAGTTGACGTTTTCTGCCACGGCTGCTAATAAAGAGCCCTCGCCGAGAACGTTCAACAAATGAACTCATGAAGAACAGGGAATCGAAAAATCAACCATGTCCTCTAGGCATCAAACCATGTCCTTACCGGTATCAAAAATGCCAGATGATGATCATAAAAAAGACATGCACGTATAGACAAAATAAAACTTTAACTTTAATATCTCGTTTTACCTTCTTAGTGAAATAAAATATGGTTAAAGTGTCAGGTAGCAGTGAAGAAAAGCTGTTATGGTTAATTTTTTTGACAGCCGGCAAATTTCAAATTCAAAACTGTCTTCCTTAATAAAAGAAAGTGCTTTACTAAGACGCTTTACATTGACGCCCTATAATTCTATATCATCCGGTCAGGAGACTGGATGTTTCTATACATATTTTGAAAACTAATGAACCAAGATGTTTTTTGTTTCTTGTAAACGATTGATTTCAAACGATAACTATCCACCCCCTTTTGTTTTCCGAAATTTGATGTTAAAATCAACTAAATACAGTCGATAGAAATAGTCGATCCAGAAAGTCATCAGTCAAATTCTTGTTTACGAATTTTAATAGTGTTATCTCGTGAATTTAGACCTATAAACTTTCTTCGATCTTCATTCACTTTTAAAGTCGTTTTAAGAAACTATACCAGTGATGAATGATCGGTTATTTCTCCAGGTCTACCAGGAGAGTATTAAAACATAATTATCTGCCCTTGTAAATGACAGGTTATCTAAACAAACATATTCATTCCATATTCTATTACATAAAGAGAAATAAAACAGTTTTGACTTAGTATTGTTAAAATAATAACACTGACATAAACGATATCGTTTTTTAAGCCACGCGAACTATTAAACAGCTGGCTAGAGTCCACATGCAATTGTTTGGAAGTAAAGCCGCAGTCTAAATAAATATTTGTTGAGAAGTTTCCGGTGGAGGAACTAATTAAGATTTTAAGTGATTGTAGCATCTCTAAACTACCATCACTCGTAGGTTATTCCCGCGTTTATCGATGGGACCGTGAATTCAATATTAGAATTGTTGGACTTGAAAAAATACATTTGCTAACAATAGCAATTTAGTATCAGATAAAATCTTGGTTTCAAAACGAGGTCAAGAGCCCCGGGGCTTGTTGGAGTCGGCGACAAAGGTATTTGTTAGTCTCACTACTTTTTCGTCTCTGTTCTGTTTTCATAGCAGTCACAAGCCACTAATTAAACTCGCTATACTACAAAAGCTACTGTTCTAGAAATATGCACATTAAAATAATCCTCCATACTGAGTTAAATTTTAGCCCAGGTCCGAACCGTAAGTTTCGAGTTATTTCCGATTCAATTGATGGCCTAAGCGCGAAACACAGGCCATAAATTCGAAGGAAAAAAGATGATTCGTAACTTACTGTACAAACTACGAAGCCATTTAATATACCATCATTTTGCCGAAAAGTTGTCGGAAAACCCTAGAGGTATTGTGGGTAGTTTACCGGTCGCGGTTCCTTGACCTCAGGAAATTTGATTTCACTTTTTTAAAATACAATGATTACCGGATACCCAGATTACCTTTCGATCTTGCCCCGTGGAATTTTGTCTTTTACGCCGACAACCTTTCTCGAAATAGATGTATCTGCTAAGTGTATGATTGGTTTGGGAAACGTTTTCTAGACACGTTGAAGGGATTCCAATTGTTGAAGAACATCGAAAGAAAAGCGAGTCAATTAAAAACCGTTGCACAAGTGTTAGAAAGTGTTTATTATTTTTCAATAAACAACGAAAACAAGGATTTTTAATCATTTGTTTCACTGAAATTGTTTGAAATTTGCTTAAAGTCTTTTTCGAAATTTTCTTTTGCCAACTGACGAAAATTAGGAACAATTGGCGATAGGTGACGAGGCGTTGAGGGAGAAAAACAGCTTTAAATTAAAGCTGAAATGAAATCTTGCTTTCACGAATGAATCGACAGACATGGTATGCCTTTAGGATTTGACTAAATTGCGCCTAATACAAATGTAAATATAAAACAGTATCATTCCTTGACGCTGCAATTTTGCTTAGTTTATTCAGATCATTGTATATCAATATTTCTTTTTCTGAAGGTTTCCTTGTTTTATCGTAGCTAACAACACAATTTGTCGCAAAAGTTAAAAATATCCAACAGTCATAAAAATATTTCAGATGGAAACCCTAAGGGCATACATGATAAACCTAAAATTTGGACAGTATGCCTGACTTTTTGTGTAGAAGAATATCTACAAATATATTAGTGACCACAAGCTTTCTCCTTTAACTTCTAACTCTAACGTTGAGATAAGTTCTCTGTACAGTATGCTAACAGATATCGCATGTATCTTATGTGAAAAACAAAACAAAACAAGAAAAAATATCACGCCAAGTTGATGTGCCCTGTTAAGTCGGGGGGTCTCAATGTGATGATGACTTTAAAATTTAATTTCTTTCTGTTGCGGCTACCGGAAAACTTTTTATGGTTAACTTCTTTTACGACTTACGTGTCCAAATTTGTCAATTTTTACGCCTCACGACTAATTTTATTTCGCCGTTGTACGGCTAACGGTTAACGCCATTAAGACCCTTTGTTAACAGGATTACAAGCATTAACGCCTTGGCATAAGAAAGATAAAATTATAAAGAATAAGAAAGATGAAAGTAATTTTGAGTCCGATAAAACAGTGGAGGAAAATAATTTCTTAGTCTTATACCGGCCTGTTGGCGACGACAGACCCGTCTCCCCAGCAACAAATAATGACCAGTCGCTTAGATTAGGCCATCTTTGCCCCTACTGGAGAACATAGAGTATCTACTATGGATCTCCGCCGGACCTCACTATACTACAGCACAAATCATTGTCATATTGCATGATTCCAGAATATAGCAAAGCCTCTTTCTGTATCATCACAAAGACAATCAGTCGACTTTTGTCTCCTTCTGTGGCATCAAAGCTTCCCGAATCTTCTTAGCCAGTTCAACGAAGATCAAAGTGCCACCAAATACCAGCACCGTTCCGCACCAATGATACAGTGTGAAGGGATTTTGGAAGTAAAAGATTGAAAACATCAAACTCGTGAACTTTCGCAGCGTAACAACCAGGGTGACAGTCAACGAGGTGCACTCTGACGTTAGGATATATACGCTGCGGATGCAGATGTATTGCGTGACGATGTTTCCGGCGAGATAGGCCCAGAGCTTCGGGACTTGAATGTTTGAATCAAGTAGAATCAAAGGAGCTGTACAGGACGGTCAGAATATTATGAATATTCTTTTGTTATAACATAGCCTACCAATTGTCTACTGCGACTTCTTTAGAAGGATAAAAAAACTGCAGTACTTTAATTCAAATAAAAGTGATCCCCTTGATAACAATATTTAATCAGCGCGAGTACATGAGAAACAGAGCTTTTGTTGAGGGAAGTGATTAAGTCACTTCTTCTCATTATGTGAGTTCATTATCCAAGAAACAGCTAAGGAAAAAGGGTGCAAGAAAAATATAGAGCAACGGAAAAGAAGAATTGCCTTAAATATGGGATGACCTATTCATGATAATTGGATGCACAGAATTTCTTTGCCCGCAAGAGGGTCACATCAAGCGATTGCTATCTTCTGATTGGTTGCCCGTGAAGCAAGCCTTGACCCCATGGGATAATTGTGCGGGTAACATCAAGCGATTGCTGTCTTCTGATTGGTTTCCCGTGAAGCAAGCTTTAACCCGAGGGATAATTGTGCGGGTAACATCAAGCGGTTGCTGTTTTGTGATTGGCTACCCGGAAGACAAGCCTTGACCCCGCGGGATAATTGTGCACGTTGATCCCGCATGGCACAGTACTTCGAGTCGGCTAACAGAGTTCGTAACGTCTGGGATAACTCTTTGTTGTGGGAGCGAGAGTTGCTGTGGGCTGTGCCCATAACAACTCTGTCGCATCTTTATCCCTTTAGCCCCTAAGAGTGACTAGAATCTAATTTCTCCTTACAATATCACCCTGAAACAACCATGAAAGTCATGAGAATAGAGGAGATGATCAGATGATCACCAACTTAAGCAGCTCTTGATTGTTAAACAAATTCTCCTTGTCAGCCTCTTTGGAAATGTATGGAGAACAGTATGAAGAATATGCATTCTGATGTGAGAATGTAATGAGTTAAAGATCCCCACACTGTCCACGCGCTTCAGTCACGTATTCCGATAAACGCGCGCTGACGCCTGGAGCCGTGAATTGTTCACTGAAAATATACCCATTGAAACAAAAAAACAAGAACATCAGAAGTGTCAAATACTTACCAGAAGAGTTAAATATTGAGAAATGGCTAAGGATGTCTTCATAAAAAAGAAGAAACCCGGCTAATGGCAAAGCATGCTGTAAAAAAAAAAATAATTAATAAAAACATGTCCGTGAAAAAAAGACAAAACCGTTTGGCAATATTAACACTGTAAAAGTAAAATACCGATATGGAAAAGAGGCAGGGATAATGAGATTGCTTAAGCAAGATTCAATATGGCAGTGTTCAAGGCCCAAATTATAAATTAAGATTATTTTCGAAAGACTAAACTACTCTTTGTAATCTCAATAGGCAGTCAGTGTTAGTAATAATTTGCAGAAAATTTCACAATTGGGGAGGAGGATGAGTTATGATGAGCTTACTTATGGGTTGAAATACTCGCGAATGGCCAATGGACATATAAATCCCCCAGGCTTAAATTTGATCAGTTTTTCGTTCTACAAAGGTTCTGTGAGAGCGGATCACAACCATCTCATCTTAAAAAGAAGTTTGCTTGAAGAATTTTAAGAAATCAAAATCATTTATCGTGTGAAGGTTTTTGATAAGCATGGTACAATTAACCGTTAATTACCGCATAAAACAATGCCTCTCTAGGGTGTTTCCCATGTTCTGCATACATCTGTTCCTGAATAAATAAAGCAAATAATGATCAGCGATATCAGCAACAAGGCAGTGGTCTTTTTAGTAACAAATACAGGGCACTTAAACAAGGAGATGTTCCATGTACCGTACAGAAGAACAGCGAATTTCGTAACAATCATATGATTCTTTTATCTGTCCTTACAAAGGATTTATGAAAAAAAATATAGCATCTGCCGCGTTTTGAGATTCTAAAGAATATAACCAAACCACTCAAGACATTTTCTTTAAATCTTCTGAAAAAATGACTTAAGCAGTCGCCATTTTGCAGGGCGAAGTTCGAAGGCAAGTGGCCAGGCTGCTAAGCAAGATTCAATATGGCAGCGTTCACAGCCCAAATTATAAATGAAGGTTACTTTCGAGAGACTAAACTATTTGTAATCTCACGACGCAATCAGCATTAGTATAATTTACAGACAATTTTTAACGGCAGAGATCAGAATAACAGTTTCTGAAATGCACTTCTCCTTTAAGCATATCATTTTGCATCAGTTGAGAATGCACAATCATATCTACAAGTAATGTGTTCTCTTGGCATGAATGTTATTCAAATGCTTGAAAAAGGTGACAGAATTAGTTGACAATCAGCAAACTTTCTGAACATATTGATAAAACCGTTTATTGCGGTACAGAAAAGCAGGATTCTTTAGATAAATCCCCCTCTGACAGTGATTTCTTCACCACAGTTATGAGTAATGATTCAACCTTTGAATAATTTTCTCAATGATGTGAAACAAGATCTTACCTGATAGATTCCTGTTCTTGCAGAAAGAAATAGTGCAATTACAAGAAGGCCAATACCTAAAAAAGGGAAGAACAGAAAGAAGAATGAGAAAAAAATATTAGAAAAGAAAGGAAAAGGCAATGCACTTCTATATCTATTTGACAATGATAATCAACATTCAAAGGATTTTTCATAAGTTTGGTTTAATAAGACCTTATAACCATCCAGTGGGTAAGCCAGTAACCAGCCAAGATGCCCAAAAGTCATCTTGCCATCTTGCCACCCAGGCCACTGTAGTGGTAACTGATCAGACTATGGCCATTCTCTTTTCATACCATACACCAAAACAGTAGCATCATTTAGCTCTTACCAACACACCACCACATGTAGTCTGTATAAGGATCCCCAGAGGAAAACTTAAACTCCTGAAAGAAACACGTTAAACTTTTGCTTTCTTGCTTCCTATGGGTATTGAAATTTAAAGCATCTAAACTCAGCATCACACACTGCTATGACCAAAAACAACTAAAGATAGTTTGACCAAGAATTACTATGAAATACCACAGGGTAATCATTGCTAGAATTATGTAATACACATATCATTATGATACACATATCATTTATAATCGAACAGATTGCTTGCTTTTGCTCAAATTGTGAAATTGAGGTGAGGCACCAGGACAAAAATTAACTTAAGAAACATGTAGTAGTATTTAGTGTAGAGGTGAAACAATAACTAAATATTTTGACTAACCAATTTGTTCGCTGAGGCTAATGTACACAGACATATCCCCACTGTGATCATCAGGACAGATAAATACTTTGAAAGATTATACCTGAAGTCAAAAATGTATGTTAAATCTTGCATCTGTTGGCAAGAAAATTGTTCTAAAATGCTTGCACTTCACATATGATATGTAGCTTTATTCAATCTTCAAATCACAGAGAGAAATTTTTCTTTCAAAGCTGTTATGAAGCCTATGCTATTCATGATCAATAGTGATATCCATGTTTAAACAAAACTGATAGCATGTTATTTATCATCATGATCTAAAAACTAATTTTGTGTACAACGATTGATAAAGGTGACAGCAGTATTCCATCCAAATCTAGCCAAAGCCTGACTTCTAAATGTTTTAACATACTGAGGCAAGGAATGTACTATTGTCTAGTACTGCATGCAAGTGAAGGCTTCTTTTATTAATTTAAGTGAATTTAAAATAGAAAAATTAAATCAAACAGCAAAAAAACATGTTTATTTGTTGTTGTTGTTTTTGTGGTTTGACTTTTAAAGGTTCTTCTTGGCATTTATAAATGCTAATCTTAATCACTTCCTTATCACAAAAATGTTTTAATTATAATAACAATTTGCAAGCCTGATAATAATTTGTAAATACAACACTTCAAACAATGAGACCTAACTTCTCAAAATAATTCTCTACAAAGGTTTGGTGGTAAATCTTTACTTTTTTGTAAAGGACCTGGTTTTACCAGTTGCTTTCATCCAGATGTTGTAAAACTATTAATAAAATTAAATGTGCACCTCTTCATTGTAGTGCACTGACTGACAGATGGCAATCTGTCAGTCAAACTTTCCTGATATCACCTTAAGCTGGCAAAAATATAATTAATTAAGCCACGACACTAAAATACACAATCACATTGAACAAGCCATAAAACACATGACATTGTGCAGCATTGTGTAGCATATCCCAGCAAACATGGTGCCTACCTTTTCTTTAGAATTATCATTCCTAAGACCAAGTTGGCCACTAAAGACCCCTACAAGATAAGAGGTAAACTAACCATAAAAACCAAGTTAATCAAATACTCTGCTTAGATGGATGGAGGATTATGAATAATTAGCAATTTTTCTTTCAGAAACACTGTACACCACACTGTAAACTTCCAGTTCTAAGCACTGGGATTACAACCTTGCAAATGAAGGTTCACAAGAGAGAAGGGATGAATTGTAAAAATCTACATAATAGTATTTTTAGCAACAATCAAAAGAACATAATTAAATGGTTTTTTTTTTCATATTGAAAGGCTCTGAAGTCACATTAACTCTTTAAACCCCAAGAGTGCTTAGCATCAAATTTCTCCCTGGTCAATGTCACCCTTGAATCACAGGGGTGAAAATGAAGGAAATGATCACCAACGAAAGAAACTTTTGATTGGTAAACAAATTCTCCTTGTCAGCACCTTAGGAAATGTATAAAGAGCAGAAAAGAGAATATGGAAACTGGGTTAATTGGTAAAGGGTTAATTATCAGACAACAGCTAAAAACAGAATTGGAAACATCAATGACCAGAGATGAAAAATTATCCTCTACCATTTCTGTGTAAATGATTATATTATGTTTCATGTATCAAAGAAGAAGTAGAAAAATATTTATTATATCTCTCTGCACTATGATTGATCAATTTACTATATGGTCCACTTACTCAAAAATTTGTCTGAATTAAAATCTTCCCCCATTTTTTCAACCCAAAGATAACTAAAAACTATCTTACTAACTTCATTTCTCAGTTCATATTGTTGGTTATCAAACCTTGTGTTTTTTTCTTCATTTGGATTTATATGTATGACCCATGCATTTTGCAGTTGGGTCTTAAACCCAAGCAGAACCTTGCAGTGTGCACCATGAACTCAGCTTATAAAAGATATCAAAATATCAAAACAAGAATATGGATCTAATATCCAAGACTTACTGATCTGAAGATCATATGTAGAGGAAGAGGGACGTTGAAGTTAAGTGCGTAATTGTTTACAACACTGCTTGAGAAGAAAAATATCACCATCATCACATAATTGCTGAAAAAAGGAGAGAGAAAAAATTTAGAGGATATCATAAGCTATCTTTACTTCATGTACTGTTGCTTTGAAAGTGATGAGTAAAGTTTTTTTTTTTCTTTAAGTGAAGACAAACACTAATTTGTTTACCTGATGGGAATAACAGGTTTTTTGAAGCCAAAATGAGCAGTGAATATGAATCCTTCCACCGCAATAAACAGAAACTGACAGAAAGTAATGGTGTTTACACAACTGGGAACCTCTCTGAAATTAAAAATAAAGGTAAAAAAAAATAGACAGCATTAAGTATAAAGTTTTTCTGTTTCCTTATAATCATCTCATCAAACATGATTCATGCCAATTAACTTCTAGCCCTTCAGCTCAAGATAAGAGCTCTGATACCCCCCTCCCCACCCCATTGCTACAGACACCAAATTCCCTTCACTGGCATTATTCACATATTTTAAAGCCAACCTCACACCACATAACCCTTCCATGAGTGACCAAGACACGACTTTTCCTTGTGGTATCAATAAAGTATCAAGCACATAAGAAATGGAAAAATATCAATAAGGGAATTATTAGTTTATTCAATACCAAATTCTCAGAACTAACATTACAAGAATTGTATGGCAGACAGTAAGGAGAATTACTAACGAAATCTTGGAGGTGAAAGAGTTAAAAAAATTGGTGTTCATGTGGCATGTGGGTTATTTCATCTACAGCTTTCAGCACAATATGTTTACATCCTTCCAAACACGTAAGTCAGATCATAGAATGATTTGACCTTTTCAAAGATTGCATATTTGTGTAATTTGTCACATGCAGCTGAGGACAAAGGAGTATGCTCGAACAAATTAAATACGACCGCCGAGTTCCACTGTAGTTGTTTCTACAAACAATTAAACATAATCTTGGTTCCGGTGGAATTGACTGTAAAACAAACAAACACCTTCACAAAGATCGATTTACCTAACATGTTTTTTAGCAAGTATGATCATTGCCAGGGTGTAAAACTACTTGTGCGGACGGGATCCGTCTCGAAAACTTTCATGAAACTCTTGTCATCGAATTAGGATGGGTTGTGATCGCCAGTGGTTTCAAGCAATGGAGCCGGCGAGATTAGTAACGCTATCCTGGCATAACTAAAACTTCGCAAGAAAATGTCAAACTTTTATTTTCCCATGTTATTAGACTCGTAAAATATTATTCCTGGCAAGGATTCTTGAGTAAAAAAAGCTCTTTTACACAGTATCACATTTGAAGATCAATCAAAGCTTGGATGAAGTTGTTATTTCGATCGTATTGCATAAGAATGCCCCTTTAACCCCAATCATAACTTTGTTGCTACCAAATTGTTAAATCAATATTCCATTCGATAAATCGACCAGCGGAGGAAGAGAGACAGCTTCCCATGCTTTGAAAACATAGTTCTATTGCACTAATTCATCATTCGGGGAGATTCGATTCGAGAAAAACAATTTACAACCCGGCATGTGAATTCTATGCTAAAAATAGCTTGAGTGGAAATGCTTTCGTGATCTCCATAACACTTTACTTGAGAAGCGCAATACTTTGTATTCCGTGTTTGAAGTTGGGTTAGCTATTTATCCTACCTCACAAGCAGCTCAAGGAAAATTACATTTGAGCAGCAGCCAGCAAACACAAGCAAAATAGCGATAGCGGGATGCATGGTTCTGAAAGGACCGAAGAAAATTCAGTTATCTCTGTGCTTTCGAGGATAAAAGACCGAGCTAAACCTGAGAACGAGAAAACGTGTTCTCGTACCCAGATTCCTTCAAACTCGCTCTTCCTCTGGCATTCCTCTTACAAAGAAGAAAAACAATGATGTTATTTTTTTCGGAGGAGCAAGTTACTGCAACAGCTTAAATAATTCCTTCTTGCCATTACGTGTTTTTTAAAAAGCTCCGAGTCGTTAATTCATTATCAGCAGTGTAGAGCGATATGAGCGGGCGAAAAACAAACTGATGGAATAAGAAGCAAGCATTGATTCTGCTCAGGATACTGAAATCTCTTGGTCTTGGCGCTTCTACCCTGAGAATTGCAGTTGATCAAATATCTTAAACTCTTCTTTTTTTTAAGCGATAAAAACCAGATCGTAAGAGTCGCAAGTTATCCAACGTCATTATTTTCAGAAGGCTGCGTTTTCGACCGTCCACACTTAAAAACGATATGCCTGCGTTTTCAAATGTCTCCACCTTTGAGAGCGCTTTTTAATCGATTCGTTATCATCTAAAAATGAATCCGTTTTCAAGCGTTTTATTGTGGAAGAAAGGCCAAAACGCATTGGAAAGTATCTGTTTTCAAAGAACACGCATTCATGTGGATGGGGTCTAAGAAACTGAGAAAAGGAATAGATTCTTGACATTTGATAGATGATGAAGTGTTTCGAGAAAGGTTGTCAGAAAAAAATAAAGAAGTAAAGTGCACGCGACAATCTCGACTAGTTTAGCCGATGGGAAAAAGTTTCTTTAGAAACTTACCCCTTTATTCATTTGTTGCACTTTCAAATTGTTTGCTGCATGAAAACTGGACAATGGTTAACTCCGCATTACAATGCATGTAATCGAGGTTTGAATAATCAACTCAGTGTGATTAATTTTGATCACAGAGCTCAAGAACTGTTTGTTTTCCATTCTTTCGTCGAACAATTAAGTGGAGGTAATCTCTTGTAATCTTTGGTATATGCGCTTTTACTCTGAGAATTTCAGTTGATTAAATATCTTTAAGTCTCTTTTTTTTCTTTTAAACGTTTCAAAATCGAATTGAAATACTTGCGTTTTCATCAAAGTAACTAAAAATAACTAGAGTTAGGTATTTCTTGCTTCATCGTTGATTCACCTTATTAAGAGAGTTTTAATGGGGTTAACTGATAGCAGTAAAATGGCCGGATAATTTAGCCGTTAAGCGTAAAAATTGACAAATTTTAACCGATAGTCGTAATCAAGTTCATCATTTCATTAAAATCCTTAAATTGGTTTTGCATGTGCAATTTTTTTTAAGATTATTTTTCTGAACCTGATTACCTTTCAGAAACTTAAGGCTATACTAAGTGACAGTTTTACACATATTTGGTGCCCAGTACTTATGTAAACCATTACAAAAGAAACTCCTGCAATTGCTTAAAAACCAGCCCGCAAACAATGAATTAAGATTCTAGCGTGACTTTGAGGCATAACGAACAAAATTGCAATCTTTGCTCATTTCTTTAAAAGAGACTTAAAAACAAAGAGCACAACAAAACCAAACATGGAAAATTCACTTAAAAACTTCGATGCCATTTTAAAATTGACATGCATGACGCATGGGCTATTCAATGGAGGATAACATAACCAACATTCCTCATTACTCTGAACATCCGCGATGATTCATCCACATAGCCCTAAGCCACATGTAGCACTATTCCGAATACCCTCAGCAGTAGTCACGTGCGCCTCTCAAGCGCCTATTGTCCACTTTGCCCGCTTTAATTTTTGGCTTGCCAAAAGAACAGCAGCTACCTTACTTGACAGGAAAATATAAAATAACACTCAGAAAATAGTCTATAGGTTTAAAGTACTTTCCTTTTCAACTTGAAAGCTTTATTTCTTTAGTAACTCGTATCAACCCTTAGACCGCACCCCACTTGTCATTTCATATCTCCTAGACCTATCAACCGATTCCCAGTATGTCCACAACTTATCTGTCACCAAGATAAACAAACAGCTGGTCAAATGGAAAGTTGCCCAGATAAAATTTTTGAGAGGGTTCGTTCAAGAGTTAATAATGATTGAGAGAAAACTGGGTCTTTGGAAAACTGAATGCCAACAGACTGCTGTGAATGAATGAGCATGTCAGCTCATCGAATATTTTTGTGACCTCAACTTCCTTAAATGATGAAGTTTGTACACGCTGTTATTGACCTTATTGGTAATTTAGCAAGGATAGAAAACTTTATGTATGTATGCATGTACATAAATATGTATCTGCGATATTTAGACAGGCTGGCGGCCCAGTTCAGCTTTAGGCTGGTTTAATTTAAATGGGGGCCTATATAAACAATATAATGCCAGACCACAACATTGGGAACATCTCTCCCTTCTCTTTTCCAGAAGGGATGGGTTCTTTAACGTCCCCTGCTTACCAGTACAAAGTAAACTCTACTTAAAATATGCAGTTGTGTGACATAAAAATAAAAATATGCATAAAATATTCAGTTGTCACATTCAATTAAACAACGTGCTTTAAATTACCTAAATACATCTCCAATTATCAAAACTTATTGAATTCACCGTTCGTTGATCAAAATTCTACTTTAGTTATTTGCTAAACCGACATTAGCCAATTAGAACTGAAGTCTAGTCTAATCAAGATTCGAATTTTAAGATAGAAATATTTACATATACCATGCAGTTTGGCGCAAAATCAGATTGTTATTTTAGTCAATTTGAAAATTTTGAGGTTGAATCCAATCGGGATTTACTTATCTATCCAGAATAACTGACAACTGTTACTTCGAAATGTTGGCCGTGTAATTACAAAAAGAAAAAACGAAGCAACACTCTTCATTGTCGCTTTTATCTAAAAGCATATGTTTGTAATAATTTTTCCCTGAATAAAGGAAAACTATTTAACACCATAACTCGATCTTAACTTGCCAATTCAAATCAGACATAACCTAAAAAGCGATAACATTTTCCTACTGGATACTTGTCCGACATCTTTTCACCTTGCTCTCTGTTTTTTTTTTAAGAATTAGGTGACATATCTCACTATGAACCTCGATATACATGGATCTATTCCCAAGGACAGTAAAACGCTTGTCTTATTATTTGCTTTACTGCTTGTCTCACTTCATTAATCTTCCAACAGTAAAGAATTGGATTTAACGATAAGTTGAAGAACACAAGAGTTCCTGTTGTCACCCAAGCAAGGAGATACGATGAAAAAGGTGCTTTATTAGTAACCACAGAGATCTCCACCACAGCAAATGGTGAATAACAAACAAGTAACACCAGCTGCACTGACAAAGAACCGTTCACGGCTTTTCTGTATCGCACAATATTCAGCGGGTTCGTTTGGCTATTTCGGTGTTGGACAAGATCTTGTACTTCGTTGCTACGATGTCTGAGCGCCCAGAAAATTCTTGTATACGACACAAACGAAACAATTACGCATAATGGTATCACTATACAACCATAAGAAATTGTTATGCGAAAATCTACCGGGTAAAGGACAGCAACGAAAGTAGACTTGATCCAAGTGATGGCGACAACTATATAGGTACGCTTCAAAGTTACAACTTGTCTGTATCTAAGAAAAACATTTTTGAGGAAATAACTGTATACTCTAATCTCGACTATCACAATCCATAACCTCAGGAAACTTACAATTGCTTAAAACTTCTTGAAGACCATTCTATTTAGCCTTTGGTGGATTAATTATGATATTTACCATTTCCATTCTCCACTTAGCTCGCCTTTCCTATGTTAGCTCTGTGGGTACTTTTGACGGTGCAGTGGTTAAAGATGAATCCTACTAGGAGACATCTTTCAGGTAAAGAACGTCCTTGGTTAAGACTGCAATCCTTCTGAAAGGAGGAGAACACTGCAGTTTTAATTATTTGTCAGAATAGGGAAATAAAAAAAAGAAGTTCCATTTTTGGTGCCACTCCCTTTATTCTTGTGACCTTAATGTGTGATTCAGGGGTGATGTTGTAAGGAGAAATTAGGTGTTAGTCTTCAGTTCGAAATTATCCGTGCAAAGAAGAGGCAAGTTTGGATCGAAGTGCGAAAGCTACATGACATTCGGAATCGCTTCAAATTCCTATAAAACAACTGATGATTTCAGGGATTTTGAAAGAACCTTTCCATGAAAATCAAATTTCTGGCTGCATGGCATTTAACTTCATTTAGGATGGCGTTTAAGTTCATCTAGGGCCGCGCTCGTCTACAGGTTATTGAGATAAATGTCTTAGAACCTTCATTTATCCACCTCATCAAAGATTCAACCCATCCTTGACATAGCTTTCGTGAACTTGTTACGGGGTCGAATTGGTCTCATATTATATTTTTATTGTCTGTTTATCTCTTACTTATATTGGTGTAGAAGACACAGTTGATTTAAAACAACAGGGAACAATTCCCCTTTTCGAAATTTTCGTTTATTAAGGGCCAAAATTCTTATCACAAGAACAATTTGATTGCGATTCTTTCAAGAAGAATCAAGCTCCTCGCGACGAGATTGAATAGCTAGAGGAGAATTCTGGTAAGAATGCTTTCCATCTGAATATCTTGAGACGAATCTCTATTTCAGAAACCCTTGCCACTAGATCGGGAATTAAAAAAATATTACGAAGTGAATTCATAAGAGAAGAAGCAGAAACCTTATCGAGAATTCTTATGACTAGACTTTTGTTAAGTAAACTTTCACAGCCAGTAACTTTGATTTATACACCTAAAGAGCTGATGTAGTCTGTTCAGCCTTGCTACTTTACAGTAGTGGAGTACTGGCGTACATAAACGATTCCTCAGGAAGAAGAAGAGCGAACAAGATTTTAAAGATTTTCACGCTCAGTTAGCTTGCAAGCTTACGTACGGTAATAAAAATCAAACACAGCTAACACTCGTATAGTATATAAAGTTCGAGTTCAAAAACAAAACAGGACAAAACTGGAATAATGCAAAATATAGCCAATCTGATTGGAAAGGGATTGTGATTGGCTTATTGCAGCGTGCTTT